CACCCTGAGGGGGGAGGGGATCTACCACAGCAGCACCTGGTGCGAGGAAGAGAGGCGGGGGGGGGAGCGGGGCAGTGCGGTAGGGGAAGAGGCGGTAGTAGGGGACCGACTCGTCGAAAGTGACGTTCTGAGAGGGCAGGACACGGTGCGAGGTGGCGTGGTAAAACTGCCAACCAGACGCGTCCGGGACAAAGCCAAGGAAGACACAAGGAACAGCGCGGGAGGAGAGCTTGTCCGCGGACGTATCGCGGACAAAAGCACGAGATCCCCAGACCCGGAACACCGACGCATCGCCAACCTCTCCCGTCCAACGTAGTGTCGGCGAAGTCTTCGGAATGGAGACACGGGGCCAGAGGTTGAGCTGATTCGCAGCGTATCGGACAGCAAACGGCCACAGAAAGTGGGGGGCAGCCGCATGGATCAAGGAGGTACGAGCGACCTCCATGACCAAGCCAATGCGGCGCTCAGCAACCCCATTCTGCTGTGGAGAGGCCGGAAGCGTGAACGACTGCTCAATGCCCTCCCCCTGACAGAAGGCCCTCAAGAGGTCGGAGGAAAACTCCCCACCTCTGTCAGAGTGCAGACGCAGGACAGGAAAGTCCGAGTGGAACCTCTCGCTGAGCTGGAGACGAGCAGCGCGGATCCAAGGGATCAAAACATCAGGGACTTCACCCTTGGTGCGCAAGGGGAAGACCGTGGTGTAGCGCGAGTAGTCGTCAACAACTATCAAGAAGTACCTCTCGTGACCCTGTCCACGGACGCGGGCTGGGCCCCACACATCCATGTGGAGCGTCTGCAGGGGAGCAGTCGTCGGGGGAAACGAGGAGGAGTGAGGAGCGGCGCGCTGCCGCCCCTCGACACAGGGAAGACAGGGAGGAGCAGGCGAGGGTGGGAGGGGAGGGAGAACCCTGGGAAGACCAGAGACAAGGTACCGGGAGTGCATGCCACGAAGGCGCTGCACTGACGGGTGACCAAGGCGGTGGTGCCAGAGGACGGTCTCGTGTGCCAGGGAGCGACACGAGCAGGGGGCCGACAGCTGACCTGACGCAGACGCAGACGCAGCTACCTGAGGGGACTCAGTGGTCAGTGTGTACAGGTCCGACCCCGGCTGCCGAGTGAAGGTAGCCAGGTGGCGACCCGTCCGAGCACACGTGCAGTGTGTTACGCGCTCGTAGGCAGGGGTGAACTGGTGGAAACCCCCGTCCTGGAGCGCACGACCCGCCACCAAGTTCGTAGAGAACGAGGGGAGGTAGAGACCTGACAGTGTGCCCGACGGAACCGCAGGACAAGGGAGGACAGTGGAGGAGGTCGCAATGACCGGACCCCCAGAGGGGTCAGCGAGGGAGACTGCAACCGGCCGAGCAAGCTGCTCAAGGGCAGTGTGGTCACGAAAGAAACAGCGGGAAGCACCTGAGTCCAGTGTGAAGGTGTGCAGTGCCTCAGTAGACGCAGTACCAGACGGCGCAGACTCACGAGTACCTAGAGCAGCAGCCTCACCAGCACCTGGGGCAACAGACACACTAGCACCTAGAGCGGCAGCCTCACCAGCACCTGGGGCAACAGACACACGAGCACCTAGTGCGGCAGCCTCACTGGTCCTAATGCCCGGGTCGGGCGGGACACTCAGGTAACAGTCACCCTCTCCACTAGCAGACAACACATACATGGCACCAAGAATAACATCAAAGTCAAGAGCATAGACATCAATGTTCTTCTTGATCAGATCAAACCAGCGGGGCAGCTCAGTAGCAGCAGGAAACTGAGTGCGCCAGGCGTCGTCGAGGCGGGAGAAGCAGCGCTGCTGCGTGTGCGCCCTCCCACACGTCTGACCAGTGCGGTCACCTGTGCGGATGACGTACGGGCAGCTAAGTCCACCCCCCCCCCGCTGAGAGTACCACTCACGAAGCTCCTGGGGCGACAGGGTATGCTGCTGGCGCTGGCCACCGCCAGAGCCTCCGCGACCTCCACCGCCGCCGCCGCCACCTCGACCACCACCGCCACCACCGCCACCGCGTCCACTGCCGCCACCACCACCGCCCCAACCCCGGCCACCTCCGCCGCCGCTGCCGCCACCACCCCCGCCGCTGCCGCCACCACCCCCACCGCTGCCACTGGCCCCTCCAACCCCGCCACCACCCCCACCGCCGCCACCGCCCCCACCACCGCCTCCCCCGTCCTCACCGCCGCCCCCCTTGCCCCCTTTGCCCTTGCCGCTGCGGCGCCCACCACTCGCAGTGGACGCAGTCCCGGCCTTCTCAGCACCTAGAAGGTCGACAGCAGCAGCAGAGGCGACAGAGGGGAGGAGAGGGGAGGGGGAACACCCCTCGAAGAAAGGGGTGCGGGGGTCGCCGCGAGACACACCGACAGCGACTACGCTAGTCTCAGCTGCCAGCAGGTGCTTCTCAAGCAGGTCAATGGTGAGCTCGGTGGGGCAGAGAGCAAGGAAGTGGTCCCTGACCGCACGAAGGGTGTCAGGGAGACGGGTGACCAGGTGGTAAAGAGTGAGCCACAGCGGGGGGGGGTTCTTGGCAAGAAACTCAGCAGGGATGGCAGCTCGGAAGCGGGTCTCACTAGTGCGGAGGTGAGTAATGAGGTCAGCTACTGTGGAGAAAGCGGACAGGTCTGGGAACAGATAGGGCAGTAAGAGGCGGCCTAGCGCAGCAGAGGCAGGCGAGGAGTAGCGCGCAACTACAGCAGTGTACAATGCCTGAGCAGTCTTGTGCTGGCCAAAGTGCTCGCGTTCATCTACCGGCAGGGAGTTGCGAATGGCGAAGCGAGAGTGGGTGTCACGAGTCTGCCACTGTGAGCGGGCAGTACTGTCAGCAGTCGCAGCAGGGGCAGGAACGAGTCCTAACGCATGGTCATATAGCGAAATATTCTCCTTAGCAGTGAGCTGGAGGAACAGATGGAGGTCATCAAGCCAGGTGTCAAAACGTAGCGGGCGGCCCTCAGCATCGAAAGCTAGAAATGCAGGACTAGCCATAGTTTCAGTAGGAGCAGTAGGAACAGCAGTAACTGCACAGTGCGGCTCGGGCAGGGCGGCGCGGCGCGGCTCGGGCAGGGCGGCGCGGCGCGGCGCGGCTCGGGCAGGGCGGCGCGGCGCGGTTCGGGAAGGGCGGCGCGGCGCGGCTCGGGCGGCGCGGCGGCTTGCGCGTGCGGCTGCGCGTGTGGCTGCGCGTGCGGTCGTGCGTGCAGCCTAACGTGCGGCTGCGCGTGCGGCTGCGCGGGCGGCTGCGCGTGTGGTTGCGCGGGCGGCTGCGCGTGCGGCTGTGCGTGCGGTTGCGCGTGCGGCTGCGCGTGCGGCTGTGCGTGCGGCTGCGCGTGCGGCTGCGCGTGCGGTCGTGCGTGCGGCCTAGCGTGCGGCCGTGCGTGCGGTTGTGCGGGCGGCTGCGCGTGCGGCTGCGCGAGCGGCTGCGCTTGCGATCGTGCGTGTGGCTGCGTGTGCGGCCTATCGTGCGGCTGCGCGTGCGGCAGAGTGGGCGGCTGCGCGTGCGGCTGACGGGCGGCGCGTGCGGCTGTCCTAGGGGCGCACGACGGCGCTAGGAAGAGAGGCGCTCGACGGCGCTAGGAGGAGGGGCGCACGACGGCGCTAGGAGGAGGGGCGCTCGACGGCGCTAGTAGTAGGGGCGCACAAGGGCGCGGCGGAACGGTGGGCCCTAACCAACGTCGGTCCTAGATCCTGACCTAGGCGTCGGATACCATGTTAGAAACTAGAAGGGAACGAGAGTGAATGAACTAGGCAGCAGGGTGATACAAGTAGGAAACCCTAGCAATGTTGTACCCCCTAAGGCTAAACCCACTATAGCCTACACAATATAAACATGTACAATGTTTGACACTTGTCACGTCAGCAGTACCAACACTTCTCCGAACTCAGTGGGGTAGTCAAGCGGATCAAGACTCGCTACGGCCAGGAGTGAAGGGGGGTGTTACGAATAGTAATTATTGAAACATTACTATGCACTCCTCACCGCAGCAAGCGAAACACGCACTACCGAGGTTCAAGACGAAAGGGCGGAAGTGATGCGAAGGGTCGCACGGTTACGAAAGCATCTGGACCGTCGGGCAGACAGCATCAGGCAGCAGCAGTGGCAAGGATTCCGCCCGAACAGTTTCGTAACTGTCTGGAGTCGCACGGTTGGATTTCTCTGTAATAAGGGATTGTACCCCTTAGAGTACATGGCTAGCTAGGTCGATTGGTATTCCCATGTATTCTTATTTATAGTGCTGTACTTGCATGTTTTTATTATCTCAAGCATTTTATATTCACTCTGCCATTGAGGTCACGGGCCCACCACCACTACTCAGTCGTGTGCGAACCTTCATGAGGTGATCATAGGCATGATCAACTTCTGATGGCAACAGGTAGTGTAAGGAATTTTCCTAATTCCTTACCGAGGCACTTTATGCGCGTACAATTCCAACTTTCGGAGTTCAGGCTCGGTCCGACGACCTCGCCTTCCGAACGTCCCTCGCGTCGCCTTCGGGTTTCCCAACCCCATACCTGCACCCAACCATCTCGCGACTCCGCGACCTCGGCCTAGCTAGCATTGCTATATTAGTCCTAGGCCTCGTTGTTTGCTCAGTAGTTGTAATCACTTCCGCGATATTGCATTATGCGCACTCTTTCGTACAACTCATAACATTATTGGGCCCCTATCTGTTACAATTTGGATTTTTTTTCCCACGTTTTTTTAGCGGCGTGGCTTCCTGTCAATCGAACCACATGTGCTGGTTTTGGTGTCCCCCGAGCCTTCGTGCTCGACTCGTTTCTGGTTTGGTTCTTTGCTCTGTTGCAAGGCCAGTTGCAAGCAAACCAAAGCAAGCTTTGGGAGTGGCGCCCGACGCAACACGCCCTAACCATTTACGTTTGCAATTTCATTCGCCTGTAAAACCCCCAGTCACTATCTCCCAGGACCAGTCGGAGTCATTCCCGTGCCGTGTTCTAGTCCGAAAGTGCAGGTTGTTCATGTGCTGAGGGTGAGGGTGCGCGTGCCGCCATGGCGGACAGCATTCTCTTCGAAGATATCTTCACGCTCACTGACATGGACGTCGGCGGCAAGAAATTCGACAAAGGTTCGTTCGTCCTCTCGCCGCTTTTGCTGCCGGTTACACGTGCCGCCACCTCGGAAGGCCGCGGGTTGCTCTGCCACCCGTGCGCATCTTCCCAGCCTTCCATGCCTGGCCGCGGCGATCCGTGGCCTGCGGATGGCGCACGATTCGAGATGAAATTGACGAAGTTTGTGCGGGTGTCGCTTGGGTCGTCGCCGTGCTGCCAGTGAGACGCCGCGTGCTCGCGGTGCGGCATGAGACAGCCGCTCGCCGCATCTCGGCCGCACCACTGCCTGCCCCATTGGTCCGCGCTACGCCGCTCGCAGCCCATCTCGCATCCGCTTCTCGCCATCGCACGCACTGCCTGCTGTGTCCCCGCGGTTCCTCAAGCCCCCTGATCTTCCCCAACCCCCCTGCGCTTCCCCATGCCCCCTGCGCCTTCCCCATGCCCCCCTGCGCCTTCCCCTGCCGTTCACTTGTTCCGCCCGCATTGCTCCTTAACACCCAACCCAGCGCCTTGCTTCCGTTCTTCTCCTTTCCCTTATCCCGTCCCCCACACCACAACCTTCCCTGCCCCACCCACGCTCCCCATAAATCACTTCTCTCCCTTTCTCCCTCCGTCCCCCACATACCCCCCGTTCCCCCCGCTTTCCCCTTTTCCCCCCCTGCTCCCGTGACAGTTGTGCGCATGGAGGCGCGAGCGAGGTGTGTGACGTGCAGCTGTGCTTGAGACAGCCATAAAGCACTTCCTTCCAGAACTTCTCATCTCCCCCTTCCCCTTCCGTCTCCCCGCCCACCCTCCCCTTCCCTTCCGTCCCCTCCTGCTCCCGTGCAGTGTCGCGCATAGGGGCGCGCAGCGAGCAGTTTGACGTGAACACAGAGGTGTACCCCTGCCCTGCCCTGCCCTGCCCTGCCCTGCCCTGCCCTGCCCTGCCCTGCCCTGCCCTGCCCTGCCCTGCCCTGCCCTGCCCCCCATGTTCTCCCTCCTTCCCCACCCCCCCACACCTGGGTTCCCACCATCCCCCTCTCTCTTCTCCCCCGACCTCTCCCCCCGGTTCTCCCCTCCCCTTCTCTTCTCCCCCCCATTCCCCCTCCCCCTGTGGCAGTGTCGCGCGTGGAGGCGCGCAGCGAGCAGTTTGACATGGCGCTGTCGCTGGACGTCAACACGGAGGTGTACCCGCTGGCCGCGGGCGACAAGTTCACCCTCGCGCTCTCGCCCACGCTCAGCCTCGAAGGCGTCTCCGACGAAGGCGTGTACGACCAGGTGGGCCGTGGATGGAGGGGTGTACGACCAGGTGGGCCGTGGATGGAGGGGTGTGAAATTGAGTGGGCTGGGAGGCGTGGACGACCAGGTGGGTGGTGGAGGGAGTTGTGTACGACCAGGTGGGCGGCAGAGGGAGGCGTGCATTACCAGGTGGGTGGTGGAGGGAGTTGTGTACGACCAGGTGGGCGGCAGAGGGAGGCGTGCATTACCAGGTGGGTGGTGGAGGGAGTTGTGTACGACCAGGTGGGCGGCAGAGGGAGGCGTGCATGACAAGGTGGGTGGTGGAGGGAGTTGTGTACGACCAGGTGGGCGGCAGAGGGAGGCGTGCATTACCAGGTGGGTGGTGGAGGGAGTTGTGTACGATAAAGTGGGCGCCAGATGAAGGTGTGTAAGGCAAGCTTGGATACCAGGAAAGTTTGATGCAGGTTTCGAGTTCAGGGTTTAAGCGAGAGTTTTAGGGTTCATGGCTTAGGGTTTAAGTTGTACGGTTCAGGATGCAAGGTTCAGGGTTTAGGGTTGGGGCTTTGAACTTCAGCACCACGTGGTGAGGAGGTCTGTGGTTCGATGATAGTGTGGTGTATACTAGGCACGGTTGATGTCCCGTCAGGAGTGCAGGGGAAAGCTTGGAGCAGAAGAGCGGTGAAAATGTTGCAGAGAGGCAGTGCACCTGAAGCCACAAGGAGGGTAGCAACATCCCTCCATGCCCTCTTGCACCCTCGTGCCTCAGCATAAGAGCCTTCCATCCTCCCCGTCTTCCCCACCGTGCCTCCATGTCTCCTCTCCAGCCAATAACCTCTCTACCCCGCCCTCTCCCCTTCTCACCCCCTTCCCCTCCACTGCGTGCCACCCGTGCAGTCGTTGCGGCGGTCACTCGTGGACCGTAATGAGTATTATGAGTGATGTACGGCCAAGTATGACCCCCATGCCATTGCCCCCCTGTGCCCAATCCCACCCTGCGCGCCATGCGTGCAGTCGGGGAGGCGGTCACTGATGGACCGCTACGAGTATGTGATGTACGGCAAGCTCTACAAGTACAGTGACGCCACCGCCAGCGCCGCCGACGCGTGAGTCCCTCTGCCTGCTGCCTCCTCTCTCTCTCAATGCTTCGCTCTTTGACCTTTGTGCGCGCCACACGATGTTGAGACGCTGTAGTTCAGAACACTCCTTCTGGTCGTAGTGGTGGCTTTATGTGCATTTTGGTGAAAGCATGAGCTTTGATGCTATGCATAGTTTCTTTCACAGCGCCCTGCTATTCGATTCCTGCCTGGTACCGACCGAATGCTACCCAAAAGCCATTCTGTCCCTATGCTTGTGAGTGCAGTGCAACGTCTCGTCCTTGACTTTGTTGGTGATTCTTTATCTTCTTTCTGCTTGCATTCTCCCCTCCTTGCGGCTGCTGCTTGCAACAGCGAAATCTACGTCTCATTCGGTGGTTTGCTCATGCGCCTGGCTGGGGACAGCACAAACCTAAAAGATTTCCATATTGATCAGCGGCTGTATATTCTTATTAGAAAGGTCTAACATGTTGTATGTATCATCTCATGCTGCGTTGTGTGCTAAGTACGGTAGGTTCTTACACGTCCCCAAGATGTATGAATTGCACACGAAATAAATAAATCTCATCTGGTCAAGTCCAAGCATTTATAGGTAGTTGCATTATGTTGTTTAGCTGAGTACAGCTTATACACCCATATGCACAAACCTTATATTTAATAAATGTATCCGATATATAGAGCGAGTGGTACGATCGAGGACGAATCGGCGCTGTTCAAATACACCACCTCGTAGTGGAAGGAAACAGAAGTGACGGTATTCAGCAAGATGAGTGACGGTTTGAAGCGGTGAAGCGGACTTACCGCTTTTAACTGTACATCATCGTACTCGACCGTTTCAATCGAACAGAAGCTCAACCCCTCTGACACGCTTGCTCCGGGGATCGTTTCACCGCTTGACAGCATGAGATTGTTTTCACCATCCACGTCATGCCATGCCAGCAAACAACCATCGATGATCTCAAGGGTTTGCCTGCAGGCTAGTTTCTGTATGAAAAGCCATACTACCTTAGCGCGATGCGATTTGTGTACATAGTCCTTACGCTGCAGACAGATTACTGAATGAGCTCCCCTAACCCATGAGCCACATGATGCTCTTCCGACCATGACCCGCATGATGCTCTTCCGACCATGACCCGCATGATGCTCTTCCGACCATGACCCGCATGATGCTCTTCCGACCATGACCCGCATGATGCTCTTCCGACCATGACCCGCATGATGCTCTTCCGACCATGACCCGCATGATGCTCTTCCGACCATGACCCGCATGATGCTCTTCCGACCATGACCCGCATGATGCTCTTCCGACCATGACCCGCATGATGCTCTTCCGACCATGACCCGCATGATGCTCTTCCGACCATGACCCGCATGATGCTCTTCCGACCATGACCCGCATGATGCTCTTCCGACCATGACCCGCATGATGCTCTTCCGACCATGACCCGCATGATGCTCTTCCGACCATGACCCGCATGATGCTCTTCCGACCATGACCCGCATGATGCTCTTCCGACCATGACCCGCATGATGCTCTTCCGACCATGACCCGCATGATGCTCTTCCGACCATGACCCGCATGATGCTCTTCCGACCATGACCCGCATGATGCTCTTCCGACCATGACCCGCATGATGCTCTTCCGACCATGACCCGCATGATGCTCTTCCGACCATGACCCGCATGATGCTCTTCCGACCATGACCCGCATGATGCTCTTCCGACCATGACCCGCATGATGCTCTTCCGACCATGACCCGCATGATGCTCTTCCGACCATGACCCGCATGATGCTCTTCCGACCATGACCCGCATGATGCTCTTCCGACCATGACCCGCATGATGCTCTTCCGACCATGACCCGCATGATGCTCTTCCGACCATGACCCGCATGATGCTCTTCCGACCATGACCCGCATGATGCTCTTCCGACCATGACCCGCATGATGCTCTTCCGACCATGACCCGCATGATGCTCTTCCGACCATGACCCGCATGATGCTCTTCCGACCATGACCCGCATGATGCTCTTCCGACCATGACCCGCATGATGCTCTTCCGACCATGACCCGCATGATGGCACAGGGGGGGAGCAAGGCCGAGACGAGTGGGGAGAGGAGCAAGGTAGGGGTAGGAGAGACGGTAGACGCGTGGGAGGAGGAGAGGCGGCGGGCCGTGAGATGGACGAGGTGGTGGCGAGAGGCGTCAAGCGCGCCCACTCCGACTCCCGCGACGCTCGCGGCGACCGGCAGCCTGGCGCGTGCGACACTGCGTCGCTCGCCACAGCTGCTGCGACGGGTAGCTACATGCCGAATGGCGACGTCGCTAGCGGTCTAACGATTATCTCTCCAAGCGAGCAAGCACGAGCACAGCCGATAGCGTTTGGTTCGATTGCAGGCATGGCGGAGGGGTCAAGTTCGTCAGGGAGTGCACTGAGCGCGGGTCACGACGGCCGGATGAAGCGACGCAGAGGCGCCTTCGAAACGCCTCTTGACGCCGCAGCAGTAGGCGCGTGCAGTGGGGTTCGGCAAGCGGGCCGCGCGGGTTCGAATCTCGGCGTCAGCAGCGGCACTGGCGAAGGTTCGGCAGCAGCTGGTGCGGGCTGCGAGGAGCGCGCTCGACTGGCAGCGCAAGCAGGCGGCTCCGGTAGTCACGCGGCGGGCGCGGCGGCAGAGATGGGTTCGGCCGGCACGTCCGCTGCTGGCGCGGGTGCGTCCCGCCGCCCTGGCATCGCAGAGGACGCTGTTGCTGTTGCTGTTGCTGTTGCTGTTGCTGTTGCTGTTGCTGTTGCTGTTGCTGGTACACACGCGGCTGGGACGACGGATGAGGCTGCGGGGGTTGCTGGTAGTGGCGCTCGTGCTGGCTCCGCTGGTGCTCCCCTCCCTGCTGCTGCTGCTGCTGCTGCTGCAGTGGGGCAGGGTGCAGCCTGCGCACATGAAGGCGCTGCAGTCCCCTGTGCTGAAACGGCAGCACGCGCCATCCCTAGCGCCCGCCACGCTGCCGAACCTCCTCTCCCTGCCGCACCCGCCGCCGCCGCTGCAGCAGCAGCAACAGAAGCGGCCGTGGCGGGCGCCGCAAGCAGGGCTGCGAGAGTGGAGAGCAGCAGTGGCGCGGAGCAAGCGGGTGCAGGAGGAGGCGCAGTGCATGACCGTGCAAGGGGGGGCGAAATGCAAGGGGGTGCCAGTGCAGGAGCGGAAGGAGCAGGGGGGAACGGAGGGGAGGGGGGTGGGGGAGCGGGTGGGGACGAGGAGGTGGCGCGGGCGGCACAGCTGGCGGAGGACGAGCGGATGGCGAGGGAGCTGCAGCGCACGTTCGAGGAGGAGAGCAGCATCCCGTTCGTGCGTGCGCTGCATGCATTGCATGCCATGCAATGTCTTGTCATGTCATGTCACGTCACGTCACGTCATGTCTCGTCATATCATGTCGCATGACTGCGCTGATGTCTGCATGCATTCTAAGTCTATGCTGCATGCGTTGTGCTTGGGCATGCGTTGTGCTTGGGCATGCGTTGTGCTTGGGCATGCGTTGTGCTTGGGCATGCGTTGTGCTTGGGCATGCGTTGTGCTTGGGCATGCGTTGTGCTTGGGCATGCGTTGTGCTTGGGCATGCGTTGTGCTTGGGCATGCGTTGTGCTTGGGCATGCGTTGTGCTTGGGCATGAGCGCTGTTGCTGGCCTGTCCCTCGCGGCGTGTGCTCTCTGCGGCACCACGCGTGGCTCGGCACCATTCCCAGTGCACCCCTGCCTGTTCCCCCCTTCCAAAGTGGCCATTGCCATTCCTACCCACCCTACTCCTCCTGCCGCACCACAATCCACACCCCTGCCGCACTCTCGCTGCTCACCCCTGCCTCAATTCGCGCTGCTCTCCTCTGCCCCCCACCCCCCGGTGTGTGCTGTGCTCTCCGCTCCACCGCTCCCCACCCCCCAGGGGCGGGGGCTGGCAACGGACTACCAGCTGGCGATGCTGCTGCAGGCGGAGGAGACGCAGCACCTGCGCTCCCGCGTGCTCCGCTCCTCCCACGCCCCTCGTGGCCTCGCCCGGCCAGCAGCTCGCCAGCACACCCGCCCGGATACACGGCAGGGCGTGGGGCAGGGCGAGGGGCAAGACGCGAGGCCGCAAGCAGGCGGGCACAGCGGACAGCACTCGGGCGAGCGCGCCTCCCTTGCGCCCTCTCGCCCCTCTGCTCCCTCTGCTCCCTCTGCTCCCTCTGCTCCGTGCATGCTTGCTGGGCAGTCGGACGGGGCTGCTCGCGCTGCCAGTGCGTTGGCAGGGAGGGGCGGGGGAGGGGGCGAGGACGGTGACGTTGAGCAGAGGAGGGCAGAGCAGAGAGGGGTAGGGGAGGGGGAGAGGGATATGGCGGGGAGTGAGGAGGTGGGAACAGCAGGGGGTGATTCTGCATGGGCTGCTGGCGGTGGTGATGCTGGTGTCAATGGTGGCACTAGTGGCAGCACTGGTGGTGGCACTGGTGGTGGTATTGCAGGAGCACGCAACCCCCCCGTGGCTGCTGTGCCACCTGCACCCGTGAGGCCACTGGAAGCTGCCCGTTTGGCTCGGCCCAGCATGGCAGCACCTGCAGAACGTGCCACGTCAGCATCAGCAGGCCGTGCCACGTCAGCACCGAGGAGCTACGGGCGGTGGTTGAGGAGAGAGGCGATGGCAGAGACAGTGGCGGCAGTAGCAGCACTGCGCAGTCAGCAGCAGCGAGCAGGGGGGTTCGGGGCAGGTGGAGGTGGCAGGGGCATGAGTGCGTGGGAGATGCAGCAGGAGGTGCAGGAGGCGGCTGAGTTCAGAGCGCTGCTGCGTGTCGATGGCGTCCTGCCCGTCCGTGCTCTGCCCTCCCTCCCTCCCTCCCTCCCTCCCTCCCTGCCTGCCTGCCTGCCTGCTGCACCCGTGCTCCCTCTCGCCCCTCATGCCCGATGCAATGTGATGCGGTGGGAAACTTGGATGGGATCATGGGAGCACACACCACACTATCATTGGTGGGTGGGCCAATGAGGTTGGTCACCCAATGATGTGTGTGGTCGACCAACATTATTGGGGGGGGGCTCAATAATTGGTTGGATTATCCAATCCAACGATTATTTGGGAGCCCCCATCACATGCGGTCAAAAGGGTTGGGGCGCGCTTTTTCCAATCTTGGTTGGAACGCCTCGGCCCAAAGTGTACACCCGCATTGTGTGTAGCACTCACACAATTAAGAACTAACATACGCTAGTATTTAAGAAAAGAACCATGTTACCATGTGCTGTGCGAATCATGGCTTGCTCTCACTGCTGCATTCTTTCTGTCCCTCCATCCCTGCGTGCGCACCTGTCCTTCCATCCCTCGCATCCCTCCCATCCCTTCCATCCCTCGCATCCCTCGCATCCCTTCCATCCCTTCCATCCCTTCCATCCCTTCCATCCCTTCCATCCCTTCCATCCCTTCCATCCCTTCCATCCCTCGCATCCCTCCCATCCCTTCCATCCCTCCCATCCCTTCCATCCCTTCCATCCCTTCCATCCCTTCCATCCCTTCCATCCCTTCCATCCCTTCCACCCCTTCCATCCCTTCCACCCCTTCCATCCCTTCCATCCCTCGTATCCTTCCATCCCTTCCATCCCTTCCATCCCTTCCATCCCTCCCATCGCTTCCATCCCTCGCATCCCTCCCATCCCTCCCATCCCTCCCATCCCTCGCATCCCTCCCATCCCTCCCATCCCTCCCATCCCTCTGCAGAGACAATCTGGTCGGCGCCTACAGCCTTTGAGGGCGCAGTCTGCTGCAGCTGCACGAGAAGCACCTGAACAACAAGAAGCACCTGATCAAGCACCTGAACAGGCACCTGATCAAGCACCTGAACAAAGACCAGGGCACGCACCTGAGCAACCGCCCGATGAGGGGAGACGTGAAGGGCCAGTTGCGGAGGCAGCTGCAGCGACGACCGGAGCTGGGACAACAGACGGAGGCGAGGCACACTGGGTGGCGGAGGTGAGAGAGGAAGAGGAGGCGGAAGAGGAGGAGGAGGAGGAGGAGGAGGAGGATGAGGAAGTGGATGAAGAGATTGAAATGGTGGAGCTTGACGGCTCGAGGCTGGACCTGGGGCTGCTGGAAGGGGATGCAGGCGAGGAAGCTTATATGGAGGATGTGGATGGGGGCCATGAGGGCCATGAGGTGGATAGTGTGGGCGAGCACGATGAGGACGCCTTGAACGAGGTGGACGAGGCGTTTGAGTTTGATGTGGCCCTGGGGGGCGTTGCACCCCGCCTGGACGACATGCCACCTCGTGTGGGCGTGCCTGGCGGCGAAGCCGCACTGCCCATGGGGGAGCATGGAGGGCATGGGGGGCACGAGGGCGTGCAGCGTGGGGGTGGGGTGCCGTGGTTCCCTGGCAGGCTGGTGGAGGAGGCGGAGCAGTGGCAGGCGCGCGTGGCACGGCGCTGGGGGCAAGCAGGGGGCGCGGCTGGGGCTGACGAGCAGTCAATGGGGGTTGGTGGTGATAGAGGGGGAGGAGAGGGCGCTGGGGTGCTGGGGATGGGGGCTGTGAGTCTGGGGGTGTGGCACGAGGCAGCAGAGGCGGCAGAGGCAGAGGGAGAGGCAGAGGCAGAGCATGCTGCTGCCCCTGCCTCACCCTCCCTCCGCAATATCCCCTCCTCCCCGGCCTCGCCCTCCCTCCGCAACCTCCCGTCCTCGCCTGCCTCTCCCTCGTTCCGCAACTTCCCCTCCCCTCCGCACTCGCCCCCCACGCACGGCCCGCTGCAGCGTGGGAGGGCCGGGCTGCATGCGGCGCCCCACGCTCATGCCGTGGGCGCTGGCGGGCGCGAGAGGAGGCACGGCGAGGGGGGTGCCATGGATGCTGCTGCTGCTGCTGCTGCTGCTGCTGCTGCTGCTGGAGGGGGGGCCACAGGTGCCAGCAGTGCATTCTCCTTCGGCACGCCTGCTGAGTCCACCGCCTCTGTGGGCATGCGCATGCGCCGGGGGGGGTTTGTACGCGCATCTCAAATGCACGCCACCCCGGCCCTCACCACACGCCCTTCCTCTCCACCTCCTCCCCCTGCTGCTCCTCCTGCTCCTCCCCCTGCTGACCCGCCTTCAACTGCTCGAGCTCAGCCTCACCCCACTGCCCGGCCTGCCACCACGGCCTCGCCCCACGCGGCGCTGCCACTGCCAGCAGACTCCCCCTGGGCGCTGGGCATGCGCGCCCGCGTGGGTGAGGGTCGCCTGCCCGCCCGCACACGTGCCAGGTATGCAGCAGGACCGGGATGACACGGGGGTGCAAGGCTGGCTGGCTGTGCCCAAGGATGGCCAAGAATTCACCCTCTTTCCTGACTCGCTCTTTCCTCTTTTCTCCTCTCGTTCTTCTCTATCTCTTCTCTCCTCCTCACTCTGCCATCATCCGCATCTCTCTCTCTCTCCTGTTTCTCCCCCCATGTCCGCCACATCACATCACATCACGCTCCGTTCTCCTCCCTCCCCCAGAGTGCCACCTTGCCCCTCATCGCGCTCCGCTGCCATGAGAGCGGGCGGCGATTCGGGCGGCAACTCGGGCAGTGTGGGCAGCACCAGGCCTGCCGCCCTTGGCCCCCCCGCCATCCTGCCTGCCTTCACACCCCATGCTATCTCACCGCATACCATCACACTGCCCGTGGGTGCTGGCGAGGCGGAAGCAGCAGGGGAGTTGGGCTGCGGGCAGCGGTGGGAGCAGGCAGCGCGTGTGGGCGCCCTCCACACGGCCGCGCTGCAGCATGGTGCGGGGGGTGGAGCACCTTTAGCAGCAGCCGCAGCAGCAGCAGCCGCAGCAGCAGGCGAGCCGACAGTGTTGGATGCAGTAGCAGTTACTGGCAGTGCGGTGCAAGGGGGGTTGAGAGGCGAAGGGGGAGTGGAGCAGGATGTGTTTGGAGTGGATGAGAGGACCACACACAGGAGGGAGGTTAGGGAGGGGAGGGTGGGGGGCGGGGCGGAGGAGAGGGGCAATGGTACTGGTGATGAGGCTGGGAGGGGTGAGGGCCATGAGGATGCGGAGGGCAGGGTGGGTGGCAGGGGGGAGGGCAACGGGGGGGGCAGTGCGGAGATGGCTGAATCAGACGGCAGCAGCGCTCCCCCGCGAGCACCCCATGGCAGGTCCCGGCACGGGCGGCCGTGGCGGGGTGAGGCAAGGCAGTTGCGGGGCAGGGAGGAAGATGCCCGTGACAGGGCTGCTGCACGCATGCAGGCGCGGCTGGCGAGCAGGGCTGGACGGACGAGCAGGGGCAGGGGGAGTGGAGAGTGGGAGGCAGCGGTTGGCAGGAGTGATGGGGTGAGGGGCGGCGGGCATCTGGTGGGTGTGGGTGGTGGGGGCGAGCGTGGCAGGGGAGTGGATGGGGAGGGCCGTGGGCATGGCATGGATGAGCAGAGCAGGCTGGAGGCTGTGGGGATGGGTGTAGGCAGGCAGGGGAGTGAGCGCACTGCTGCACTGCCTTCGCACCCTGCACCTCCTCTGCCGGCCCGCCCACTGCCGTCTGATGCCCTGCCCCCCGTGGGTGCGCAGCCCTTGCTGCTGCCGTCCTTTGCCGCCCACCACACAGTGCCGCGTGCCTGGCGCCCTGCTGGCACTGGCAGGTATGGTGGCACGGGCGCGGGCGGCGAGGGTGGCCGGGGGAATGGCGAGGAGGGAGGGGAGAGCGGAGAGGGTGGAGAGACTGGGTTCTTGTTTCAAACGGGGCGTGGGTTTGAAAGGGGTGGTGCCGCACCAGATGTGGCTGCTGGAGTTGCTGATGGTGCTGATGGTGCTGGGATGAGTGGGGAGGCCGGTGAGGGAATGAACAGAAGCGAGGGAATGAGCAATGCCAACGCTGTAGCCAATGGTGCAGCCCATGCTGTGAGTCGACCTCCTCACTATGCTGTCACAGCCACCATGGCCCATGCCGCAGCCACAGACGCCCATGCCATGCCACCACATGACGGCCTTGCCGCAGCACCACCCCATGCCCCCCCTGCAGCAGCACCACATGACCCCTCCCCCTCAGCCCCGCCTGCCACGGCCGACCTGCCTCTCGCCCCGCACTGGAGCCCCCTCCTCCTGCCCTCCGTGCTCTCCCCCCCCGCGCCTCCTCAGGCAGCCTGGCAGGTGCCGCGCAGCAGGGCGTTGGGGGGTAGACAGGGGGGGGAGTCAGGGGGGCTGGACGCGTGGAGGGAGCGGAGGAGGGGCACGGGCATGGGCATGGGCGCGGGGGATGGGGGCGAGCGGAGGAGGTGGCGCGAGTGGGCGAGTGTGCGGGGGATGGGTGGAGCAGGCTCGGCAGGGGCTGCAGACGAGTCCAGCGGGGAGGTGGCAAGAGGGGCGGAGGAGACAGGCGCTGCATGGGTGGGGGTTGCGAGGCCAGTGGGAGGGCAGGGGGCAGTGGGAGGGGAGGGTGAGGGGAGACAAGGCGAGTCAGGTGAGCAAGCGGTTGAGTGGGAAGGGGTGCGACCTCTGGGTTCCTTGGATGAGCCGATGAGTGAGGCAGCATGAGCAGCAGCTGAAGGACACACAGCAGATGCAGCAGGCGAGGGTACAGAAGCAGCAGATGTCCACCCTGCCCTGGCCTCTGCTGCGCTCTCTGCCGCTCACCGCTCAGCATCAGCAGCCGCAGCAGCAGCAGCAGTGGCAGCAGCAGCAGCAGCCACCGATACAACAGTAGGTGTAGCCATCACGGAAGGAGCAGCAGCAGCAGCAGGAGGCAACACAGCAGCAGCACGAGGAGCGGCACAGGGAGCGGCACAGGAGGAGGCGAGGGAGAGGCGGCGGCGGCTGCAGCGGCTGGTGGAGGAGCGCGTTCGGGTGGCCCGGCACGTTGTGGAGGCTCGGGCACACGCCGCCCAGCAGCTCGTGGAGGCTCGGGCGCAGCAGGAACGGGAAGCGGTGGATCGGCGGGCACGGGAGGCTCGGGAAGCTCTGGAGCGGCGGCTGAGGGAGGCTCGGGAGGCTGTGGAGCGGCGAGCGAGGCAGGCGGTGGAGAGGGTGGTTGGGGAGACGGGGCTGGAGCCCGGGGCATCTGAAGGCGGTCGTGGGGCTGCTAATAACGAGGACAGGGACGAGGACGGTGGCTCTGCGCTGGCGAGTGTTGTGGCGGCTGTGGGGGACGCTGTGAGGGAGGCGGCGGCTGCTGAAGGTGCGGGTGGGGCGCGGAGAGGGGCGTGGGTGGAGGCGGGGAGAGGGGAGACGGTGGAGGAGAGGCGGGCGCGGCTGCAGCAGCGGTTCTCAGCGCTCACCCGCCTCATGCTGCGCGACCACGCTGCCACCCGCCACGTGCTCCGTGCCCCTGCTGGGGGGGACGCTCCTGCTGCTGCGCATGATGCCGGGGATGATGTGCGAGCAGCGGGGTCAGCTGCTGCTGCTGATGGCCATGGCGATGCCGCTGCTGCTGCTGCTCGTGCGGAGGTTGGAGTGGGAGGGGAGGGTGCGGCCAGCAGGAGGGGAGGGGAGGCGGAGAGGAGGCGGCAAGTGATGGGGGCGTGGAGGCGGGACAGGGCTTTGCAGGTCCTTCCGCTCCGCCGCTGAAATGATCTCCGATGTGCGCCCTTGCCCCCTCACCCTCACCCTCACCCTCACCCTCGCCCTCGCCCGCGCCCTCGCACTCGCACTCGCCCTCACCCTCACCCTCGCCCTGTCCTTGCCCTCTCCTCCTTTCACCTCTCAACTCAAACCGTCCCCTTTCACGAAATTCCCCCAGCCATGCTGCTTTTTCTTAGACCCCTCTCCCCCCTCACGCACATGCACGTGGTGTGAGAGGCCCTTCTCCGTGCATCGCGTATCATGCTGCTGCGCTGTTCATTACCCCACAGCCTTCCTTCTTCTCCGAACGACATGCTTCGTTGCTTCAAATGTTCCCTTGTCCCCTCACTTCCCTGGCCTTTTCTCTTCTGCCCGCCCCTCACTCGTCTGTCCGCCCTTCTCTGTGCACACATCCCTCCCCCTCCGCCCATCAGCGCCTGGCGGTGTGGCAGGCGTTGGAGGCGGGCATGGGGGGGGTGGACGCCGCCTTCCACCGCATCGCCCCCTTCCCCCGCCCCCCCCTCGCGCGCAACTTCCCCCTCGCCTTCCGCCTCGCCGCCATCGACCGCGACTTCAATGAGTGTGTCCCCGCCCCGCCCCCCCTCCCCTTCAATGAGTGTGTCCCCGCCCCGCCCCCCCTCCCCTTCAATGAGTGTGTCCCCGCCCCGCCCCCCCTCCCCTTCAATGAGTGTGTCCCCGCCCCGCCCCCCCTCCCCTTCAATGAGTGTGTCCCTGCCCCGCCCCCCCCTCCCCTTCAATGAGTGTGTCCCCGCCCCGCCCCCCCTCCCCTTCAATGAGTGTGTCCCCGCCCCGCCCCCCCTCCCCTTCAATGAGTGTGTCCCCGCCCCGCCCCCCCCTCCCCTTCAATGAGTGTGTCCCCGCCCCGCCCCCCCTCCCCTTCAATGAGTGTGTCCCCGCCCCGCCCCCCCTCCCTTCACCCTGCGCTGCTCTGATGTGCTTTTCTCTGGCTGAGCGCCTAGTTTTTCAGTTCCTAAGTAGCCATAAATTTGCGCTTTTAACCACGCTGTGTGGTCAACCCACTCATTGCAATCCAACCGCTCTGGCAATCATTGTGCAGTTACGACTCCCTCTCTCTCCTTCCTGCCTTCTCCGCATTCCTTTCCCCCACCTAACCCCACACATTCCCTGCCCGTGGTTCTCTTACCTGCTCTCCTCCCCCCACGCCACACGGGGCCCAGGTCGGACTACGAGATGCTGCTGGCGCTGGACGACATCTCTGCGCCCGTCGTGCGACCCGGCGCCACCCCCCACGAGATCAGCCGCCTGCCCACTGCCATCGTCACGGTTCGTACCCTCTCCGCTCGCCTGCACCTGTTGCCCCACATTGCAACAGCCTGTTCCCCCTGCTCTTAAGCACAGAAATGCCCTCCCTTGCTGCACGCACTGCTCACCGCCTTGACATCGTGCATCGGCATCGAAGTGACTGTCCGCTCTCCACCTGGTGCAGCCTCGACTGGGGTCTGGGGTCTGGGGTCTGGGGTGGGGGATGCATGTCCCATCAGTAGTGCACACTGCCCTTGTTATACATGTGGTCTTGTTCCCTGTTCCAGCCATGCCACAGCAACCTGGGTAGCAGCATTAATTGCAACTCTGTCACTTCCCTCGTGCCATGCGTCCCTCACCCACCCCCCCCCCTGTCAGGCACAGGACAGCGATCTGGACCCGTGTGCCATCTGCATTGAGGTGCCCTCACCACCTGAAGTCATCCGCCGCCTGCCCTGCGCCCACACCTTCCACCGCGATGTGAGTCAACCAAGTCAACGCTTTGAACCGAAATGGTGGGTCAGTCGAAAGCGTGCGCCAAAAGGGTGCGCCAACCAACAATTCCACCGCAATGTGAGTCAACCAGTGAACTTGGATCGAAACAAGTGAACTTGGATTGAAACAAGTGAACTTGGATTGAAACAAGTGAACTTGGATCGAAACAAGTAAACTTGGATTGAAACAAGTGAACTTGGATTGAAACAAGTGAACTTGGATTGAAACAAGTGAACTTGGATTGAAACAAGTGAACTTGGATTGAAACAAGTGAACTTGGATTGAAACAAGTGAACTTGGGTTGAAACAAGTGAACTTGGGTTGAAACAAGTGAACTTGGATTGAAACAAGTGAACTTGGATTGAAACAAGTGAACTTGGATTGAAACAAGTGAACTTGGATTGAAACAAGGGAACTTGGATCGAAACAAGTGAACTTTGATTGACTACCTTCCACGATTCATGCATGTCATAGTCAAGTGTGTGCAATTCCATGAGATGGAAGCACACTTATCGTCGAAATGCTTATCACCACAATCAGAATCACAGCATGAGCGGCGAACCTTTGTGTTCTATTGTTTCATTCCTTTTTGTGGGCTGAGTTCCGTGAGTTTGCATGTGGCTTTTCTCCTTTCTCACTAGTGCCATCGTTGTTGAGTCCATCCTGTTCCGAACACCTTTCCCATCATCATCCTTTCTTTCCTCCGCCACCCATTCTGCTTACATTAGCCGCTGCCCCTCCCTGCTCCCGGCAGTGCATCGACGAGTGGTTGAGGCGCCGCGCAGTGTGCCCCATCTGCAAGCGCGACACGCGGGGCACGGAGCAGTGATGGTGCAGCATTGCAGAGCAAATGTGATGGTGAAACCACGGGACATGTACACACTTGATGAAAGATTCTTGTGGCACAATGCATACCGTATGACTGTCCATCTCACTGCTAGGTTACCGTATGTACAGGTGATTCATTCATTTTCCATCCACCAGCACTATTGATTGGTCCCTTGGCTGCCAAGCGTATCGTAACACATTGCATGCCAATTCATGCTATTGTAATGAGAGTACATTCATGCGAGGACGCATCTTCATACCTTCGCGTCACAAGCGTTATTCGTGATTAATTTCGATGCTCCGCATTAACAGTGACGTTCCGCCCAGGGCTGGCGTTTCAAATTTAGTCATCCTAAAGAAAAAACTAATTCTCTGAACTTCATAGTAAAACACACGGATAAATCCCCCCTTAAGGGGCTATGCGAACATACAGCGGTTTTCCTTTTTCAATTGGTAACACATTGGTTTTTTTCATGTGTAAGCAATGTAGTTTTTTTGCACCTTCACACTTCATTACACTCCTTGGAGGGAAGCGCACAAGCCCACGTCGGGTCACCATGGAACAGGGAAGGCACTGTGGGTGATCAACGCAGACACTGTAGAAGTTCGTCATTGTGCCCCCTGCGTCGCCATCGTTTTCGCAAGTACGGTGATACAATGGTAGCATCTAAGGACGCGGCACCTCTAGCACCGATCCTGCGATCGATCCTGCGCATGGTCGGAGTTTAAGGGCGCGTCACAATTGAAACATCGATCCTGCGCAAGATCGGTGTTTCGCGGGTACAGTACTTCGTTAAAGCTCAAGGCCCAAATTGCGGGCCGCGCGAGGCAAGTTTAGTAAGGTTGATCGAGTGCTCCCCCACCACCCAAGGGTCAACTTTAGTAATCCTGAACAATTTGGGCCTTGAGCTTTAAGTTGTGCATTATTGGTTACTTAGTTTCGTTATTTGTCGCCAATGTACAGTTGTCCCCTCGGAGTCACGCGATCGATGTGCCCTTGCCACACATCGATCGTGCAATTTCGTCCAGATCGGGCGATTTTGCCCCATGATTTTTCAAACGTGTCCCTTGAGAATTGCGGTGGGCCCGCGATTGCAACAATGCAGTCGTGGCACACCGATGTGGCGATCGATTTGGCATGATCGGCGAACACCCCCGATCATTCCTCGCTATTTCAATTATGACGCGTCCTAAAACGTTTTCGAAAGCTTTGAATGATTTCAGCAGGATTTCCGTACGGTTGAATCAGCGATCCTGTGATCGATCGTGCAAAATTGCTCGAGGTGCCGCGTTAGGGTTATGTCACTGACGAGCGGTTGAGTGCAGTTGCAATCCCAGACAGACCTAGCGCCAGCCCTGGTTGAGCGGGATGCACCACTCCTCCTCGACCTGACCGCTTTCAGGCTCAGAATAACCTGAGTTTAGAGCCTACAAGGCAACGATAGGAAGTCCATCGCAAAAACAGCGAGGGTGGAGGGGTAGCATTAGGTTCAGGTGCTTCGAAGCTGCTCGGCGTGAAGTGACTTTAGGGTTACGCTAGACCTACCTTGCAGCTGCTTTCAACGTGGGCGCTTCGGGAATCAGCGGGATGACACCAGCGAGAATTGATTTTGATCTTGCGTGGAGGAGTTTCATTCGTCCTCGATTCATAGCTACGGGAAAGCTGGTTCAAGCGAAATGCTTGGGCTTCGTGCATTTCCTGTGTTTGGGATCGCCCGTTTTGTCAAACTGTATGTTTGTGTTCTCTCTAGGCTATAGTGGGTTAGCCTACAAGCGATACAACACTTTAGGGTTAGTACTTGTACCCAACTCATTCATAGTTCATTCATTCCTGCCTGCTTATTCTAACATGGTATTAGAGCAGAATCGTTCCTAGGGCCCACCGAACGTTCCGCCCTGCCCTAACCGCAAATTGTTTCTTCCTACCCTGCCCCTGCAGCCGCGCTGCCCTTGCAGCCCGCGCGCTGCCCCTGCGACCGCGCTGCCCCTGCAGCCGTGCTCGCCCCTGCGACCGTGCTGCCCCTGCAGCCGTGCTCGCCCCTGCGACCGTGCTGCCCCTGCAGCCGTACTCGCCCCTGCGACCGTGCTGCCCCTGCAGCCGTGCCTGCCCCTGTGGCCCACGCGCTGCCCCTGCAGCCCGTGCGTCTCTCCTGCAGCCCGTGCGTGCTGCCCCTGCAGCCCACGCACCGCCCCTACAGCCAGCGTGCCGCCCTACCGAGCCGCGCGTCGCCTCTGCAGCCCGTGCGCGCGGCCCCTGCAGCCCGTGCGTCGCCCTTGCAGCCCGCGCGTCGCCTCTGCAGCCCGCGCGCCGCCCCTGCATCCAGTTCGTGCTGCCCCTGCAGCCTGCGCGCCGCTCCTGCAGCTCGCGCGCCGCCCTGCCGAGCCGCGCGTCGCCCTGCCGAGCCGCGCGTCGCCCTGCCGAGCCGCGCGTCGCCCCTGCAGCCCGTGCGAGCTGCCCCTGCAGCCCACGCGTCGCCCCTGCAGCCCGTGCGAGCTGCCCCTGCAGCCCGCGCGTCGCCCCTGCAGCCCGCGCACCGCCGCTGCAGCCCGTGCGTGCTGCCCCTGCAGCCCGTGCGCCGCCCTGTCAAGCTGCGCCGCCTAGCCCGAGCCGTGCCGCCCATACCCGAGCCGCCCTACTCAACCTGAGCCGCCCTGCTACAACTACTGCTACTGCTGCTGCTCGTTCTTCTGCTGCTGCTGGAGGAGGTACTGCTGGGAGTGGTGGAGGTGCGGCCGCCCAGTCCCACCGAACCGCCCTGCTGCTGTTACTACTGCTGCTGCTGCTACTCGTGCTACTGCTGCTGCTGGTGGAGGTGCTGCTGGGAGTGCAGGAGGTGCGGCCGCCCAGCCCCACCGAGCCGCCCTGCTGCTGCTACTACTGCTCCTGCTGGTGGAGGTGCTGCTGGGAGTGCTGGAGGTGCTGCTGGTGCTGGAGGAGCTGGAGGTGCTGGACCTACTCCTGACCGTCGCTGTCTGTCATGGCCACTATCGCGGCAGTTGCTGCGGCCAGGGGTGGACAGCAGCGGGCACTGCCTCTCCCGGACGACCCCACCCCTCAGCAGCTTCGTGAGTGGGTTTTTCAGCAAGGCAGGCCTAGTGGTGGAGGTTTTGATTTTAAGTGGCCTAAGCGACGTCGCGACTGTGCTTCTCAGCGATGCGTCCCTGGCTGTGTAGAGGTTCCTGCTCTCGGTTCTAGTGAGTCTGCTGCCGCTCCAGGTGCTAGTGAGTCTGCTGCCGCTACAGGTACTAGTGAGTCTGCTGCAGCTCTAGGTGCCCGTGAGTCTGCCGACGCTCTAGGTGCTAGTGCGTCTACTGCCACTGGTCCTGTCTCAGCTGAGGTCTTGCACACTTTCACGCTTGACTCAGGCGCGTCACGTTGCTTCTTTCGTGATTGCACCACAGTCACACCACTCACAACACCTGTCCTAGTCTCACTGGCTGACCCCTCTGGGGGCCCAGTAGTTGCGAGAGCCTCCACGGTCCTCCCTTGTCCAGCAGTCCCCTCCGGCTCTCTGTCAGGTCTCCACCAACCCACGTTCTCGACGAACTTGGTGAGCAACGCTGCCATTCAGGATGTCTGGGTTGATACCTTTATTCCTGGAGGGCAGCGTGTGGCGATCTGTACGTGCTCCCGGACTGGCCGTCACCTGGCTACGTTCACTCGACAGCCTCGGTCTAGTCTGTACACACTGACCACTGCGTCTGCACAGGTGGCTGAGTCAGGTCAGGTGGCCGCGTCGAGTCGGGCGTCTGCGTCGGGTCAGTTAGCTGCGTCCTGCTCGTGCAGAGTACTCACGCACGAGACTCAGCGCTGGCACCACCGTCTTGGTCACCCCTCCCTGTTGCGCCTACGCATCATGCACTCCCGTCTCCTTGTCTCTGGCCTCCCCAGGACCCTGCCCCCCCAAACCCCGCCATGTCTTCCTTGCGTCGAGGGGCGGGAGTGTCAAACATATATGCTATAGTTTGTGTAGGCTGTAGTGGGGTAGTTGATATAGGGTACAACACTTTTAGGTTTCCTACTTGTACCCACCTGCTTTCTAGTTCAGTCATTCCTTCGTTCTCATTCAGACATGGTATTCTGAGCAGGTTCCCTCGTGGGAACATTGTTTTTAGGGCCCACCACTGAAAATTTCCTTCCTACCCGAAGCGCGCTGTCGCGCCTGCCTCTCCTGCGCCGTCGCGCGCCCTGTCCTGCTGTCGCGCTAGTCGCGACCCTGCCTAAGCCGCCCGTCGCGACCTAATCCGCCGCCCGTCGCGGCCCTGCTTTGCCGCCCGTCGCGGCCCTCTCCTGCCGCCCTACGTCGCGGCCCTGCCCTGCCGCCCTACGTCGCGGCCCTGCCCTGCCGCCGCCCGCGGCCCTGCTTTGCCGCCCGTCGCGGCCTACCCTCACCGCCCATCGCGGCCCTACCCTGCCGCCCCTCGTCGCGGCCCTGACCTTGCCGCCCGCCGCGGTCTCTGCCCTGCCGCTGCTCGTCGCGGCCCTGACCTACCGCCGCCCAGCCGCGGCCCTGCCCTGCTGCCGCACTGTCGCGGCCCTGCTCTGCCGCCGACGCGTCGCGGCCCTGCCCTTCGGCCGCCCCAGTCGCGGCCCTGCCCTTCCGCCGCCAAGTCGCGCCCCTTCCCTGCTGCCGCCCCAGTCGCGGCCCTGATCTCACCGCCAGCTGCGGCCCTGCCCTACACCCGCCCCTGGTAAGCAACCGCGCCGCCCAGCCGAGCCGCGCCGCCAAGCCGAGCCGCGCCGCCCTACCGAGCCGCGCAGCCCTACCGAGCCGCGCCGCCCTACTGAGCCGCACTGCCCTCCTTCTGCTGCTACTGCTGCTACTGCTACTTCTGCTGCTACTGCTGCTACAGCTGCTTCTGCTGCTACTGCTGCTTCTGCAGCTATGGCTAGTCCCACTGAACTTACCTTTGATGCTGAGGGTCGTGCTGTTGACTTCGAGGT